ATCCTGTGCATCAATCCAGACCATTGTTGCAATCCGGCCACCTGAAATCTAGATGGATGCGATCCAGCAGGTGATGAAGCAAATGGAGTAGATGAGGGGCGTACCACATGGCTCTGTGACTGCTGACTCGATGGACCCATATAACTACATGCATGATCATATTGAGGAAGCGGGGTATAGCCCTGTGGAGGAGAATGGTAATAATACTGCTGGGAGGGGGTATGGTGGGTAGTTTGATGAGTAGATGGATATGGTGGAATAGATGTGTGCCTAGAAGATTGTTGTCGGCCATCAGCAACAGAGGGATGCAAGTGTGGAGTGGAAGGAAGCGAGGGTGTAGCACCATCATCATGATCAATAGGCCTTTTATCCTTCCTAGACCTACATCGACCCCTACCAGTCATCTGCATAAATTAAAGAAAATGTTAGAATTGAGAATATAAATCTATATAAGTTGAGAGAGCTTGAAAAAACTAACATGCTAGTCATCTTCGTCAACGTATCCTTCCTCGTCTGAAAATCCTTCCTCTTCACTTATTTCATTTTCATTAGGTGATTTTTCATCCTCATTTTCTATGAGTGTTATTTCCTCCATATCAACTTCTTCTAATATGCATTGAGGATGCTCCAAGTCATTTTCTAACTGATCATCCACCATTTGGTTAACACTTGAGGTATCGTTTTGGTAAGCAACATCTAGCACATTCTCAACTTCCTCCCTACAACAGGTTTTATTTTTATTACAACCAACCAATCAACCTTATCCCTTCGCAATGGATATGGAGAATAGTACACTTGCCTAACTGTTTTTGCAATTATAAAAGGATCATAGCGATCATACTCCCTCTTTTTATTAACCTCAATTATGTTGTACTGCGAGTGTACATTTGTACCGCTTCTAGGTGCTGGGTCAAACCACTTGCATGGAAAAGTATGATCTTCTTATTTGACCTCTACCCATACAACATTTCATAGGCAAGAAAATCATTAATGGTCCACATTAAGTTAGCACGCAAGTTGAAATTTGGCTTAGTTGATATATTATATGTCTTAACTCCATCATACCACAACTCTTTAAGCTCATCAATCAGAGGTTGGAATGATCCACAGACTTGGAATTATTGTCCCCTCTCCTCTAAATGTTGTTGTTGTTCCAAGCATGATGAAGAAACTAGTCAACACTTGTTTTATGAGAGTCATATTTCAAGACAAGTGTGTGCGTCCTTTGCTAACTGTTGTGGAGTTAAAATGAGCCAGGGAGACATAAGGCAAATGGCTATGGGATGGTGGTTAACTATAGCTAATAATGGAGTTCATGCTACTTTAATTCAATGCTTACCTTCTGTTATCTCTTGGGAAATATGGAAGAAAGGTGTAAGGCCAAGTTTGAAGGGATAAATATGTCTGCTAGAATCACCATTCATCGAGTGTGCAAATTTATGACTTCGCTTAAATTGTAAATTCCCGAAGCTATGGTTGCCTCAATCATGGATGGAAATGTGTCTAGCAACCGAGAGGGTACAACAGGTATATCTAGCCAAGTGATGTGGTAGACCAAGCCAGGGAAAGGATGCTTTAAGTTAAATACAGACGGATGTAGCAAAGATAATCTAGGTAGCTTTGGTTGTGGAGGTGTAATTAGAGATGCTAATGGGGATTTAATTTGTGCTTTTACTGATATCTGGCTGAAGTAAAGGCAATAGTAAAAGGAATGCTTCTGTGCAAGGATAGAATTAAAGGCAATGTTGTTGTAGAATGTGATTTATTATTTCCAGTTACTTTGATTAACAACAAACTGAAACCATCGTGGGAGATAAGACTAATTTTGGAACAGATTCAAAAGATATAATATGATGAATGCTTTACTTTTGTTCACATATACGGAGAAATTAATATGGTGGCCGACTTGTTGGCAAATTTGAAGGATCATGTAGTTTTCAATAGCTAGACAAATTGTACCATACCATATTAGAGTTGTTTTATTGTTGGATAGAGAAGGCATACCAAACTTCAGATTCAAGCCAAAAAGGAATCAGTTTGTTGTTAATGATGTTTCCAATGGATAAAACAAGTTTTTGTATAGTCCTAGTATTAGTAGGATTATCATCTTTTTGAGAAATATTTTGTAGTCAAAATGTAATGGAGAGGATCTCCCAAACTAGGCAGATTAAATTTGAGCAGCAGACCTCAAGGATGATGCATATCGTTCTTCATTATGTATTGGGGCTAAAAGATACATCCTCCTCCATGTTTTACTGCTTTTCGATTAAATAGAGGTAAGGGTTCATGCTTGAAACCTAAGTTGCTCAGATTCGGGTGCGGGTATCCGATACGGGGACGGATCCGAGTATTGGATTCGGTAAAATCTAAATTTTAAGATTCGGGAGTGCGGATCCAGATATGAATATGGGTGCGGAGATTCGGCTAATAAAAAATAGAACTATAAAAATGTTGTAATTTTGAGAGATATTCTGTGAAAAACTTATATGAATATTCTAGAATTTAATCTTTCATTCTCCAAGATGGATATTATTCTTTCATTCTCCTAAATCTGTTTTATTTTTGATTTTGAGAAATCAAAATCTCATTTTTTTTCTCCCAAATTTGTCGATGGACTCCGGTCAAAGTGTCCAAAGTCAGTTGACCAAATCCAGGACGTATCACGCTCCCGCTCCCCTCTCGTATCGGAATGGGACGGCACCAAAATCGAAGAGTCCGCGCAACTTAGCTTGAAACCCCCGGATGCTTTGATTTAAAAATAAAAAATAAAAATCCTTCCCTTTTCAATCCCATTTTGGTTTTGTGAAATTAATGAAGATGTTGGCTAATCTTTTTTAAAAAAATTGTATGAGCTAATTTTGATTGAAAATTTTGCCAGGTTAATCGGTCTAAACTCTAAACTCCTTCAATTGATTATGAGCTCCAGCTTTGGGATAAAACTAGTACATGTGTGTATACAATCTGGAAATTTGCAACCTTCAACTTATACTGTCACCATAAGGTCCATAGCCATTATTTCATGTCTTATGATCTCCCAACAATTCTGAAATTTTTTGGGCGCATGAGTAATTCTTAACAATATATACGAAATTAAGGAAATTTGTATTCAAACTCAGCATCTATTACCAAGAGCGAATTCAACAGAACAGTGCCTAATTTCAACTACGTCGCCTTCGAAGTCATCTTTACTCCATCTTTAATCAATATATATGTCACATCTTAAGTCAATTTTATTCATCTCATTTAGTACGGTTTACATCAAATCTGTACTTGGAAATGAGAACTAGTCTTGCCAAAAGAATATTAGAAATTAAAATTGTTCAAACCCTTGGGATGAATTAATGTGTATTCTTTAGAAAATTGTTATTAAAGGTTGAAGTGAAAAAGAAGTATAGATGACCCAAATTGTGAAGTCAACGACAACTCTTTGAGAAAAGTAAGGCAACGACCATTATATTCAGAGTTTAACCTTTTATTTATTCATTAGATGTTGAATGAAATGTCGCAGTTTGCTTCAAGAACCATATCATTACCTTTTTCTGCGTTGAAAAATAGATCTAAAGTGATGATGGCAACGAATAACATGACCTTATTTCTTTTCTCCTACTTATATTCAGCTCATTCAATGACGTACAAATATTCCTTCTGGCTTCCAAGTGTTAAAGATCTATTTTCAATAGGAACAACTAAACTTTTTTTAATGATAGTGGTGTTCGGATCAGCTTGTGCGCACTTTAACTATTTCACTAGATACCTGCTATATCTTTTACTAGCACAGGTATTGGGTAACTTTACATCTTTGATGTCGCTAGGATTTGAACCCGATGAACAACTAAATCATAGTATATGTCATGAAACTTGTCTAACCGTTTCTTATGAATAAATAAATAAAAAGCAAGCAAGCTATTGCTTGCCTAAAATAAGTATGAGTTTTTTGCAAGAAAATAATGATGCTCTTAAAAGTAATAATTTGGACCATCACGGTCGCTCATCTTTCTGCAAATTAACTTAGTAGTTTATGTTTAATCTGTTGTTTTAGGGGTGTAGAAAACCAAGTTGAATTTGACTGAGTTTCATATAATGGCTTAGTACAGTCCTAAATTTTCATATGTAAAGGTAACATTATAAATGTGCTTGTTTGAGACTTCCACTTACCATGCAAAAGGTAAAATTTAATTAGTAGCCCTTTGTTTGACGATAATTACTCGTTTAACGTAATGCCAAAAGGGTAATCTTGATGACAAGTTTTATTAGATCCTTTCTAAGCCATAGTCTTCTCTCTTAGAAAACCAGAAAAATAGAAAATGAAACAGAGTATATATAATCTCCTGACGTCTATTGGAATTTCTTGAAAGTCAACTCAATAACTCCAGGAAAAGAAAGAGGCTACTCAATGCCACTATTTGCGGCGTAAATTGAGGAATGACATGCCTAATCTTCAAGAGGTAATTAGAATATAACCACGCTTACATCACTTTCAAACAAGGGCGGGATTAAATCTATAATAGGGGTACCACTTCGTCCTTGCATTACATATTCTGTTTGTTTACTAATAAATCGACTAATTAAACTCATGTTTTTTCCATGATAATTTGTGAAAAGCCATCTTCTTCTCAAGAATATCTTTGTCTATGAGCATCTTGTATTTCATATGTGCTGTTTTGACCTTGTTCCAAAGTTGTTAGAACAAAATTAACTGGATTTATGTAGTACGCTCTTACTGCATTTCCTTATGGCCAAGAACCACAGAAGCACAGTTCCAACTTATGTAAAACAATTTGATGTCATTGTTTTACTCACCGATATGCTTATGCAGACATTGCAATTGAGTATAAAGGCGCTATAATAGTGACTTAAAGTCACAATTTGAAGCTTAAAACTGATGCAAATACATATGCTATAAATCGGTTGCATTTCATCCTATAAAGCACTTGAGTTTAAAAGAGAAAAGACGACCAAGCAAGAGTATTTTATTCAGAATGAGAAATATAGCAATTCCACCTTAATTTATTCTGAATCAGTTATCTTATAGAGAAAAGATGGAATTAACTTACATGAAGCATTACAGTTAGTCAACCCGACCCTTGATTAACAAAAAGAAATAGTTAGTCAACCTTCCCCTTGTCTTGCGTGCACCAAAACTAAAAACAACATTTCGTTTTTAAAGAAAAAAGATACTCTTAATGCATATTTTAAAGAAAAGATTATGACAGCACTGATAATAAAAAGAAAATAGTTAGTCAACTTTCATTTCCAGTTCAAGAGCTGGAAAATTCTTAATGCATATTTTAAAGAAAAGATTAGGCTGATCAATCATCAAAGTCAGAATCAATCTTGGAAAAAAAAATAGTTAAACAATAAATTTTTGTTGATATGCCGTGGTACCTTTTTTGTGTCTTGTATACAATGCACCAGTGCTCCAATACCAAAAACAACATTTCCCAAAGCTATCATCTCTTGCTCCTTGACATTTTCCAGAATGGATGTTTTCCCCGCGAGTTTTAATTTCCACACCTTTTTGGCTATCCATGCTGTACTTCACGTGTTCCTATTCTTATTTTTCTCCCAATATGCTGCAGCCGCTACATTACTTGGTAATGAAACGGACAAACTTGCCTTACTCGGGTTCAAGTCCCAAATAACTGAAGATCCATCAGGAGTTTTGGCCTCTTGGAACGATTCTGTTCATTTCTGTCTATGGACTGGAGTAAGATGTGGCCTTAGACAGGAAAGAGTCATTAGCTTGAATCTAAAAGGGCTAAGCTTGGCAGGTCCAGTCTCCGCTTACCTCGGAAATCTTTCCTTGCTCAATTCTCTTGACCTTGCGGAAAATTCCTTCCATGATCAAATTCCTCGACAACTCAGCAAGCTGTCAAGGCTTCAAAACCTGAATTTGAGTTTTAACTATCTAGGAGGGGAAATTCCAGTTAATCTATCACATTGTGTTAACCTCAAGAGCCTTGCCCTCGACCACAACAATCTTGTGGGACAGATTCCTGACGAAGTTGGATCATTAACGAGGTTAGTGAAATTGTATCTCAAAACTAACAATCTGACAGGAGTCTTTCCAGGTTCTATTGGGAACCTAACATCTTTACAAGAGTTGTATTTATCGTTCAACAATCTAGAGGGAGAATTACCAGCTTCTTTAGCTCGATTGACCAAGTTGAGACAGCTTGGATTGTCAGTAAATAGCTTATCTGGGGAGTTCCCTCCTCCGTTATACAATTTGTCGTCCCTGGAATTAATAGCACTTTCCCATAACAACTTTTCTGGTAATCTCAGATCCGATTTAGGCCATTACTTCCCTAATCTCCAAAAACTTTACTTGGCAGAATGTCAATTTATTGGTTCCATTCCATCCTCTTTGGCTAACGCTTCAAAATTGCTACAGCTTGATTTTCCTATAAACAATTTCACCGGAAATATACCTAAGAGTTTTGGTAACTTGAGAAATTTGCTGTGGCTCAATGTTGGGAGTAACCATCTTGGATATGGTAAGCATGATGACCTCAACTTTGTAAGTTCTCTTACCAATTGCAGCAATCTGCTGACGCTCCATTTTGGAGACAACCAGTATGGAGGTACATTACCCCATTCAATAGCCAACCTTTCTAGTCAGTTACAACGTCTACTTCTCTACGGAAATAGAATTGATGGAAGCATACCCAAAGAGATCTCAAACCTGGTAAACTTGAATGTACTTGACATGAGTTACAACAATCTCACAGGTAACATTCCAGATTCTATTGGAAGACTTACAAACTTGGGAAGTCTCAACTTGGGTAACAATCTCTTGATGAAAGGGGTCATCCCTTCTTCACTAGGAAATCTCACTAAACTCGTGTATCTTTTTTTGGGATATAACGGGTTAGAGGGTAACATACCTTCAACCTTGGGAAACTGTAACCAACTGCTAAGATTGGACATTGCTGAAAACAATCTGACAGGAACTATACCACAGGAACTTATTGCTCTCTCATCCCTCACAAAAATTTATGCATATTATAACTCTTTTACGGGTCCTTTGCCAGTGTACATTGGTAACTGGAGTCAACTTACTTATCTTGATTTTTCTTACAACAATTTTTCGGGTATGATTCCACAAAGTCTGGGAAAGTGCTTGGCCTTGGGGGATATCTATATGAAGGGAAACTCCCTCGAAGGGACCATTCCCGATTTAGAAGATTTACAGGATCTCCAGTTCTTAGATCTTTCCCTCAATAATCTATCAGGGCCAATCCCTCAATTCATTGCAAATCTAACTTCCTTACTCTCCTTTAACTTATCTTTTAACAATCTAGAAGGCGAGGTTCCTGTCACCGGAATATTTTCAAATGTGAGTGCAGATATGTTTATAGGGAACTCCAAGCTTTGTGGTGGGATTCAAGAGCTGCATTTACCACCTTGTGTTTATCAAGAAACTCAAAAGACACGGAAGAAGCATGCACTTGCCCTCAAGTTTATTTTGACCATTGTCTTTGTTGCTTCATTTTCAATCCTGGCCTTGTTAGTAGTTTTCCTTTGTTTGAGAAGAAGTTTGAGAAAAGATCAACCAGAAGATAAATCTAAATCTGCAAACTTCTATCCCAATATTTCTTATGAAGAGCTCCGCAATGCAACTGGTGGATTTTCTTCTGAAAATCTGATTGGCTCTGGCAGCTTCGGAACTGTTTACAAGGGATCCTTGGCCTCTGATGGGGCGGTCGTTGCTGTCAAGGTACTCAATCTCCAACATCAAGGTGCTTCTAAAAGCTTCATAGCAGAATGCCAAGCATTGAGAAACATTAGGCACCGGAACCTTGTTAAAGTCATCACAGCATGCTCTGGTTCTGATTATAAGGGAAACGAGTTCAAAGCTTTGGTTTTTGAGTTCATGCAGAACGGGAGCCTGGAAGAGTGGCTGCATCCAAAAGCAGAGACACAAAGGAGCAGCTTGACGATTCTTCAGAGAATAAATATTGTATTAGATGTGGCTTCTGCACTGCATTATCTTCATCATCAGTGTCAAATACCCATGATTCACTGTGATATAAAACCACAGAACATTCTTCTTGATGAAGATCTCACAGCTCATCTTGGAGATTTTGGTTTGGTTAGACTCGTTCCTGGATTCAGTATAGAACCCAATCTACATCAGTTTAGCTCACTTGGAGTTATGGGAACCATTGGCTATGCAGCTCCAGGTAAACTAAAACCGCGAAAACACAAATTGAAAGACATACAATATGAAATTACAGCGTATATTCTATGTTTTCTTCTAATAATAGTGGTTAATTTATAAGCTCAATTTTCTTGTTGCAGAATACGGCATGGGTGGTAAGGTCTCCATTTTAGGAGATATGTACAGTTTTGGAATCCTAATATTGGAGATATTCACTGGAAGAAGACCCACAGACACTTTGTTCCAAGAAAGCTCTAGTCTCCATCACTTTGTGGAAACAGCATTACCAGATAGCGAAATGGAGATTCTAGACAAAACAGCTCTAAATGGTGACATAATGGGGAAACCAACCAACGGAGAAGAATATTGGGCCAGTATAGAGAAAGAACAGATGGAATGCTTGGTTCGCATACTTGAGATAGGAGTTGCATGTTCAGCTGAATCCCCAAGAGACAGATTGACCATGAGACAAGTTTACAGTAAGTTGACACAAATCAGAGAAGATTTTCTAGGAGTAGAAGAAGTGAAGAGGCGATTGAGGCCATAGGCTACAAGTGAAAGCATTGGATTTTAATCTAAAATGTATTGCTAGTCTTACATTCCGTCAATTTGGTAAGAAAAATGTGAAAGCATTGTATTTATAACAGATTTCAAATTGCAGTAGAATTTTCAGTATGCAGAAGAACTAAAGTAGTACATAGCATATTCCTTGACACTAATGGCTTTAGTTTAGGGGAAATTACATGTTAGTTCTAGACTTCTATATTAGGGTGGAAGAATTGATGCATTAAGTATCTGCTAATAAACCATGAAATATGGTACAGCCTATTCGGGAAATTAATAAAATTAGTCATTCTAAGTAATTGAGGAAGAACTACATCTACAGAATGCTTGATTCCATCAATGTATTGCTTATTGATATTCCTACAAATAGTGAAAAATCAAATCTCTATTTAGTTAGTGATTCTCCTTAACAAGAGATTCAAAATTGGAGGACTGATCATATGTTGTGTCAAAACAAAAATATACTTCTTTAAAAGGAAGAATTAGCTAATCAGTAAACAAAACAATACTCAAAATGTTCCATAATACGATTCCATTGTTACAGGGAATAAAGCTGGGGCCAAAACTCTAATGTCAACTTATTAGTAAGCCCCGACGTAAGCTAACATCATAGGATCATTTGAACCTGAAATAGTGAAATTACAAGGATTGATAGACGATACCTAAAAAGCAAGGGATTCATTTACAGTAACGGTCAGCTTTCTTCTTGACCCGGTCATCAAGGGCATCTTCAACGGACTTGACTTTTGCATTCGGGTCGTACCCGAATTTCTTAGCCTCGACCGGAAACAACTCATCGTATTTCCTACGCTTAGCGGCGTCAATCGTATAAATATCATCAGTAGCGGCGTCGGCATCTTGTTCAGTAGCGGCAACGGCAGCGTCACCGGTCAAGGGCTCGTCGGAAACGACGTCGTCGGTGGACTTGTTCTTCTTTTTCTTCTTCTTCTTGTCGATTGCTTTGCTGCGGCTGGCTACTGTGCCTCCCTTGAAGGTTAACCGACCTCCTTTCACTTTCTCGTATGGGTCCGACATGGATCTTCCTTTGCTTTCTTCTCTGTTTGTTGCAGCTACGAACTTGAACTTGAAGGGGGTTCTACTCTTCTAGAGGGGTGAATAGAGGGTTTTTTTTTTTTTTTTTTTTTTTTTTTTTTTGTGAATTTGAATGGGATTTTTAAAAAAAAATAAGGGTTGATAGTTTAAGAGTGGGATTTTGTTTCTTTTACCCGAAGGAAATATATAGAAATGTTAATTTTAACGTGAAATAGCATGGCTACCCAATTTCCGGATTGATAATCAAAAATTATTGAAAAATATTTTATGCGAAAATAAAATCTAAACGAAAATACTCCAGCTAAAACACGAAAAATTCTATCATAATATGCTAGTAATGGAGCTCATGCGTATAATCTTCCAACATATTATGTTAAAATTCCAGCACATTATGAAATTCCAGCACAATATATTGAAATCTCATATATATAAAATTTGAACTCCAACATATTGTACTGGAAAATTTTTGAATTTTTAAAAATATTTTTGTTCAAATTTTATCTTTATATAAAAAAGTGACAAAATTTTAATTATTTTTAAATATGTGACTATTTTTCAATTACCAGCTATAAATCAGGCTATTTCTGATTTAATGATAACGGACCACGAGAGTTACAATCATATCAATGTTTGAATTTTTTGTAGTTCCATCTACATGTAGAAAAGAAATGTTATCTCTACTTGACCAATATAAAGATTTTACATGTTCTTGCTAGTATTCTCATTTTCTAAAACAATGTGATTCATCACAATTTTTTTCTTTAAAGTAAAGGACCTAAAACTAGTTGTATCATGTCGATACAAAAAAGAAACGGAAATGATTGAAATCGTTTCGAAAATTATATATCTTAATTATATACAATAGAGTAACAAAGAAAATTAATATAATATAAATTTCTTAAACTAACCGTCGAATCAAATTATTGACAAGCCTACATATCTTAGTGAAACTTCACATTTATTCATTTGCTCATGAGTACAATCATGTCAAAATATGTGTTGCTTTCTTTTGTACTCTTGCTATGGTTAAGAGGATAATAGTTAACACAATGGTATTATACTATTATGGTGCAAATGACAAAAACTAATAACATCTATGTTTCCGCATCACAGAATTCGCAATCCTTTGAACCACATATGTTGGGAAAGAAGACACAATTCAAAAAATATTAGATGATTTTTTTTCATATGCTTAATTTAGTGCGCAAATTTAGTCTAGACCAACACCATAAAAAGGGGCAGAAAAAAGAAAAGCAATTGGGGCTTAAAACTAGGTGTGTGTGTTCGGCCAATTCAATTTGAATTTAAAATTTCAGTTTGAATTTTTATTTTTCAGATTGAAAAAATGACAATCCAAATAAGCTCGGATTGGATCGAATTTTTTAAGTTCGATTTCGAATTAATCGGTTTGAATATTTCGATTTTCGATTTTGAACTTATTAGTAGAGATGTTTCTTCTTCTTCTTTTTTTTTTTTT